TGTATTTGGCCTGGTCATGTGGCTGTTTTCTGGCTTCGTTTTCCTGCGCCCTGTTCTGCCCCCAGCCCGGACCTGTTCAGACTTCATTGGAGAGGCTTGACCCACTTGCAAAGGAACTTTTTGGGGAGGAGGTCGCCCTCTCCTTCCTCCGCTCCTGTGTTGGAGGCAGTTGGTGATCATCGACAAAGGGGGGGGAAATCCTGGCCACAGCCAGCTGCAGACAGCATGAGTTTCATGAGAAGAGCCTGGTTTTTCCCCTTTTCTCCTTCCCCTTCTCGGTGTGGGAGGGGAAATCTCCATTTTCAGCTTCTCCTGCACCGGGGCCTCACACAGCGACCGCCAGAGCCCAACAGCGCCCCCTGCCGACCAACGCCGAGCAACTGCAGGCTCTGCACCTCCGGTGATCCAACAGCGCCCCCTGCCGATCGTGGTTAGAATTGCACCAAAAGGAGGAAAGTACCGAACTGTTTCCTTTTTGAAGGGGGTTTTTGGGTACGGGATTATCGTTTGGTTGTTTTTGTGGGTTTTTTTTGTTGTTCTGCCACTACGCATCTATCCTTTAATAAAAGGCTGCTATTTTTTCTTTCTCCATACTTCCTCAATTGGAGACTCTTAATTTTGCATTTTTAATTGCTTAGAGGGAGGAGTTTGGTCTTCCTCACAACTCACCCTCCTTAACAAAACACTTCAGTCTCATTAAACTGAGATATTCACATCCTGAAGCAGTAGTGAAATTGGCAGCTAGGCTGTTCTAACTCTGTTGTCATTGGCGATAATGTATAAAACCAGAAAGAAATCTGCTTTCTAGGACTATCTTTGCTGTGCTGACAGTAAAATCATGTTCTGATTTGTGAAGTGAGTAAATTTGATATGGAAGTAATCAGAGAGAACTAGGGAGCAGCAATATTTCCTTTTTTTACAACTGACTGTACTTTTCTGGTCATAAAAAAGTACACTTTGTCATCTAACTTCACAGTCATTTTCAGTATCTCTTACAAATAAGGACTTTTTTCCCCCTAAATACACAAAATTGGATAGATGCAGCATAGCTTGGAAAAGTAAAAATTCAGAGTCCTAAGCTGGGGATGACAGCAGGTTCACAGTGAGTAAACTGGAGAATATGCAGTCCCAAGAGATGAAAGAGATGGGAACTAGACTTCAAATAATGGACTTTTCCCCATGGGTTTACTCACATTTTCAGATTCCTTAGAATAACATTCTCCTTCAACCTTCTTTACTTCATTCCGATATTTATAGGGAGTACTACATTTCTATATTCCTAGAAGTATTCATTTCTCAACTTTATTCCCATGTTCCTGCAAGAATCCTCACTTGAATTTATTTCATATATAGATGTCAAAGTCATTAAAGCTTCAACATTCACTGTGCAACACAACAGTAACACATTCAGTATTTTTTAGTAATAAGATAAAGAGATATTTTTATATCATATTTTGTGTCTTTTGCCAAGTCTGATGAAATCTCCAATAATATCACAATATATTTGAGAACTTGTAGTGAATCCTCACCAGGATTTCTAAGATCCTCAGATTTCCTCACTGAAATGTATTCAAATACAAGAAACAACAAGCTTGAACCCAAACGAAAACAAGTATTCTTGATAGGCCTTTTCTGCAGGAGTATTAGAAGTCAGGAACACTGTATCCTACAACATTGGTTATGCCAAAATTAACATTTACAAAGCTGAAGACCTATGGAAATGTGTCCAGGGAGCTGTGTAAAAAAACTCAGTGATATCTGTAGCATAGATAAACTAGTGAAAAGAGTAGCGAGCTCAGGATGTTCCTTTAATTCCAAAAGATAACACCACAAAGTAATCAGAATTGACAGAAGTCAAATGGTTGTGAATATTGCTAAAGCCCCAGAATTCTTATCTGGTGACAAACAAAAGAATTCCTCTGTGAGGAAAAGAGTAGTGTTTCTTATAATACTTTTGTTACCAACATTCAGGAAAACAAAACTGAAAAAGTCACAAAGTCAGAAACTTTAATAAGATTAAGATCTAATGTGAAAATCTTCCAAAATATAAATTGGTGTCGCTTCAGAAATTTACTGTGTTTTATATTATATGTAATGTAAAGTCTTCTTGTGTGTTTGCCATGAACCAAGAATCAGAAAGTGCATGACAGACCGTGGCTCATCACTGATTGTCAGTTTGCGCTACTGTAAATCCCAGAAATATTCCCAAGCTCCCCATGGGTGTTCTAGCTTCTGCTTTGAGGACAGTCCTGTCCTTCAGATGTGTGATCTGCAGATAATGCAGAATTGTCTACTACTCAACCTGCCAATAAATGTGACAACTAAGGAAGACTGCAGTACTCTGCACATACTTCCAACATTTGTGAAAGAGCATGGTAAGCAACAATCTGTGTAAACCACTATTGACATCATGCTCTCTAATTGCATGATGAGTTGAGCCTAGAAAGCTCAACCCTTTAGAAGCAAAAGAAGTACATAAGACAAAAATGTTCCAGTAAACTCATGCAAAAAAGGTATATTACATTAGATCTTAATGGGAGGGTTGCTGACTCCATTGGGCAGGGCACAGATATTTTAACAGATATTTTCTTCTATAGCGAAGGCACACAAATGACTGCTGAATGACCTTTGACAATGAGAAGGAAGACTTGCAAACCAGATATTTGTGTTAAGACCCTTTATCTTTGGCAACTTCCCTGAAATTTAAGTAAAAGAAATCCAGAGGTGATGAGTCCAGAGACCAAGTTAATAATTTCAAATGGTTGAAATGATGGTGGAAGCATTGCACAGTTCCACTTTGCAAAAGACAGTGTATAGCATGTATGATAAGCTGAAGTTCCAGTTCTCTCCTTTCAACTAGGTTGTCAATTGTTGTTACATTTTATACAGCACTAATTTCCAAAAAAGTTCTCATTTGCAGCTTTAATCTTCTGTTGCTGTGCTAACATTTTCTGTTTGCGTTTTTTTTCCCCAAAACATGAAACCAGTGTTTAGTGAACTTTTGATGCCCCTTTTAGTTAAACCCTGGCAAATTATTCATGAATTTATCCAGGTTTCTAACATAATTTTTCACCTTTGTTGTCTTTTAACTCCATTTAAATATAATGTTTATCTAACAAAGCTTACTTATCACTCCTTTTCTTCATGTTTCACTATTCTTTTGCACATGTCCTGTTTTCCTTCTCAGCAAATCCTCATATCTTTAGATTTCTAAATAGCACGTCTAATTCAATGCCTTTTGAGTCCCAAGATACCAGTGTCTGTCAGCAGTAGCACAGAAAAGGGACTTTATATATAATAATTTATGTACCTCAAGTATATGTGGGACATCCAGAAAGTGTAGAGCAAATGATGGAAAGAATCAATGGACAGCTTTCTAGTTGACTGGATAGCCCGTTCCATGCTGATTTTTCACTAGAAAAAAAATATCTTGGAAGGTCTTCCCAGGTTTTAATAACAACAGGCCTCAAATTCAGATCAGTAAAAGTCCAGTGAAGTTGAAGGGACTGCCTCAAGAATGAAACTGGCTTGCTCTTTTGCTATTATAATTCATGGAGTTTCCTTGACCCTGAAGTGGAACAGCAGAGTACAAGGCAGCATGGCCAAATGAAATTGATCTGGAGGTTCTTGTATACAGGCAGTGCAGAACACCCTTTGTGGTTCTATTACTGCTTTCAAACAATAAAAGAAGCCCTACAACTGCTAAAGACCTCTTTTTGGAAATCTGAGAGGAAATGGATGAAACAGGAGTATGACTCAGTCTTACATCACTGAGTACAATAAAACCATATTAAAAATGATTTATTTGATGCTAATTAATATCTTCAGGTATTTCCTGAAGACTACTTCAGAGCAGTTTTTGTACAAGCAGAAATGTAAACCAGAGCTGCATGCTAAAAGCCATAGCATATGTATGCAGAAGTCAGCATTTGGGAAAAGTAAACCAAACAAAACTGAAAACATAAACAGAAAATCTCTACTGTGAAAACAAAATCTTAAAATTGCTACTAAATGTAAGGAAAGAATCCTTTGGAAAGTACACAGACCTATAAACACTCAGGACATCTACAGATCCCTTGCTAAAAGTTTCAGATCTCTACCTCTAAAAAGAGATATGATTATTCTGAAACTGTATGGCTTGACAAGTTTTCACCATATGCAGTAACAAGGTCATTAGAGAAGCTGTTTGGCTATCTGAGCCTGACAGTTGCAAGAGGCAGTGTGTGAAATTAAATCATGACATAAACATACCCTGAACTTTAGAAAAGGATGAGATTCTCTCTGCAAACAAATCACATCCACAGATCTGAAAGGATTTACAGCATATAAAAGAACTTGCAGTGTAAACAGGATAAAACATATGGAAGGCAGAAAATGACAAAAAGAAGAAAAGCATTTCATTGGGAATCATTTCCTTATATGGCTTTATGCAAACATTGGTTGTGTGATACAATAAAGAGGAATAAAATGACCAGATTGAAACAGAGAGCTTGCAAGATCAAAACATGTCTTGAGGGATAGGCAAAACTCTGGAAAAGGCTCTAAAGAAGAAGGATATACAACATGAGTAGCAGACATATGGAAAGATGACTACCTAAATGCAGAAGAAAAATTAAAACAGAACAATCAGTGTTTCTTCTTTTATATTAACTGGCACACCAATTTGCGACATCTTTGCACTGAATGAGATTCCCAGCCCCTCAGAGCAGGGACTGCTTCTTACAGGGTGCTACAATGGTGACCTTATTCAGCACGCAGCTTTGGACTAATATGCTTTGGACTAATAGAAGGACATCCTTTTTTTAAAATGAGTTTCTGAGTTCTAAGAAGTATTTGGCAGTGATTATGACTGAAAATGCACAGTTGGTCTGATGTCTTTTGTCCCAGTGCCCATGTCTGGATAACAGTATCCTTAACTGTAACGGATAACCAGATGCATAACTGTAATATAAACTCTAAACCCTTAATAATCTAAAATAATCTGAAAGCACTTGACTTACCTATGAGAGCAGAGCTCCCTGGACTGACAGTCAGTTTTGTTCCTGAAGGAGAGGTCAGCACCAAATGAGTGCTAGGCCCAGCACTGGAAAGCACTGCTGTCAAGTCTTCTAGATAAGGAAGAGGTCGTGGAGGCTCTGGTAACAGATTGGGAGACTGAAGTGATGAGCAACACTATAGCAGAAAACATCTTGGGGACAAGAAAAAAACCCCACCAACAACTATTGCTGCATTATTTGCTGCACTGCAACACAAATATTTCAGAGGGACAGATTTAGCAACTTTGGGCAACTACTGAAAGTGCTTTGCCTCATGTTAGGTAAGGCACTGGGGAAAGGATTAAAATAACATCTGGGTCAATATAACCACAAACTAAAAAAATTCTCTCTGAGGGCTACCATGGCATTCTGGTTGACCCTTTTCATATATGGTATCAGGAGATACAGCAGCTTGGAAGAAAGAGCAAATTTATACAGCACAGAAGCCAAATCTAATGTTCATGGTAATTAGTGAAAAACTTTTCAATGTCTGCTACAACCTGGATCAAGCTCTGATTAAATATGGTTATAACCCTGCCAAATCCTGTGGTATGCTTAGGCAGAGCTCCAAAGGATTAAGAGTTCAGAGCTCAAGACGATCTGTCTATGCTGAGAACTGCAGGATTTAGTTCTTTACTAATCATAATGTTATTTTAAAAATTGACTGTAATGCCTATTATCCCAATTCTGTTTGTCATGAAAATGATAGGATATTTGATTTACATGAATGGTGGCTTCATCCTCTTTCAATTAGATGATGGCACACGTTAGGCAAATTTTCTACCACTGATAGCAGTGAGCACCAGAAGTACAGGTCATAGATGCTTGAACTGTTTTATTTCATCAGCTAAAAATGTCATTTGCTTACAAACACAAGCAGCTTGCATAACTCACAGTAATTTACCATCTTTAAAAGCTAAGCTGTTTATAATGATCAGAAAAGAATTTACCAATCATGTGGGAGTTTTTATTTACAGGTTGAAACTCAGCTGGGTTTTTTTTCTGATTTTTTTTTTCTTTTTAGACAGATTCTAGAGTCAGTCTGGATTCATAGGAAAAATATGTTAATTTTCATTTTAGTATTTTCTGTGAAACTGAGAAGTCTCATTTTAAAACATATTCTGGAAGCTCATTCTAGTCCTGAAAGATGAGAACTGTAACAGATGCTCTAATGGTGTTGTACCAATTAGAGAGATTAGGGTTCAAAATTTGAGACTCCACTATCAAATGCACTCAAGTACTTAAAAAGTTAGGTTGGATCATTCATCTGCCAGGCATGCAGAAATGACAGAAGAGTTACTAGGAAAGGAAACCCCTTACCCACACATCCAATTACCACCAGGTAACACTTCAACTCATATTTCACAGCTGACAATGTCTTTTCAAATCACCCAGCTGGGCTTTCTGTCTGTTGTTTAGAAAAACAAGAAAAAGTAAACTTCACCATTCACTGAACTTGGGAAGTGCTTTTTAAAAGTGCACTGGGTTTATGCACCCATTGTGAAATGAGTCAGTATCAGACAGCAAGGTATGGAAAGACTGCTCAGCAAAGGCAGAGCACTTCACAGGGAAAAAGTGGCATCACTCTTATTTCAAGAGAGTCACTTTACGATATGATTAATAAATGCTTTTCTTATCTAATAAGTCTGAAAGAGTTAAACTGAATCTCTTGGGACTGGGAGGTGCAATCCCTGTGCTTAGACATTTTCTCCTTATCCATCTTCCTTTTACCACCAACTTGCTTCAGCTGATGCTGCCCAGAGCACAAATGCAGTCTGATTCTCTTCTTAGGACAGGGCTGCCTGCATGCCATTTCCTCTTTCCACAACGTCTGATTAGTTCTTCGGTCTGGATGTGCCAGTAGCCACATTACTATTGTTGCAAGTGGAAAATACCCTGGACTTACCAAGAACCAACAGCTGGGAGCTTTCAGTTACCTCCCCATGAAGATTGGCTGCCTTGCAGGAGTATAACCCCTGGTCTGACAGAGAAACATTTGCAATTATCAGCAACCCATCATGCAGGTGGTGAGCAGAGAACAGCTTGACCTTGTTCTTAAACCAAGTAACTTTTGCTTCAGGTACACCTGGAAAAATATTGACAAAATTTAAGATAGGTTAGAATTACAAGGCAAAAAATACTTGCAAGGCAAGTAGTGGGAGAACAGGAAGAGATAAGGATGTAGTGGTTTGGATCTTGTTTTCTCCCCAGAGGCTAAGAAAAAGTGGTAACCCCCAAGGGGTGGAAACCCCTGGAAGTTTTGAAGTTCTGTCCAATGGGCGCTCCTGCAGAAATGTAAACATACCACAACCAGACCGGAAAAGAAGAGTTGTAGTTGGGTAGTAGGTGAGGTGGCCATGTTGTAGGAGCCATGAGGAAAGGGGCCCAGAGCCCCTCGGGACCTCTGGGGCCTCCCAGCCCCTGGCTGGGGGAGCTGCAGGGACCTGGAACAGCATAAAGCTGGGCTAGGTGCCTGTAGTTATGCCAGGAGATGTTTTCCCCAAACTGGGCAGCGGCCGGAGAAAGCAGCAGCCGGCACTGACCAGAGAAACGGTGGCAGAGAGCCAGAAGAGATAAGACGGAGCAACAAAGACATGCAGCACTGCAGAGAAGACTCCTGGAAGGAGAGCCGAGGAAAAGAGAGCCCGCAGCAGTTACAGAGTTCTGGGGGTAAGAACTGATACCAGACCCCCCAAACTCCTTTGATCCCTCTGAGAAAAAGAGGGAGATTGGACTCCTATTTTGGAGAGCAGTTTTGGACATGCAGCACCAGGGAGAGAGAGAGAGGAGCTGTGAAGCTCAGAGCGTCCTGGGAAGCTGGACCGGGACGGAGAGGAATGTGGAGGAGGGCTTTGCCCCCCCACTGCCTTGAGGCAGAGCATGGAGCTCTGCAAAGGGGAATTTGAATCCCCTGAGGAAGGGACTTTCACGAAGATGCCCCTGCATTTCGTGATATACCTGTGGTGACGCAAGTCTGGTCCCTGCTGGCAGTCCATAGGTGAGGCCTTCGCTTGGACTGAAGGAGAGCCGAGGGGCTTGGAGACCCCCTTGTGTGTATTGAACAGAGATCCAGCTACAACAATCCAGTTACTGCTGCATGCATGAGATGAGGAGACCTGCTGCCTTAGAAGAGACTCCTGCTTGGGACTGGAAGGGATCTGTCCTCTTTTCCCTCCTGGACTTTTATTTGGAGGGGAGATCTGATCCATTGTAAATACATATGTCATGGTAGAGATAGTTGTGATCGTGTGTATAATGTGTTATAGTATTTATTTGTACAGTCATTGTAATATATTCCCTTTCCCCCATTCTGAGTCTGGTTGTGTTTTGTCTGGAAAAAGCCATTTCACATTGGGTTGAGATGTGGGAGGGGGAATGGAGCTAGGGAATTGGATTTTGGGGCTATCTCAAACCATGACAAAGGAGTACTGAAAAGAGTAAAGAAAAGGGGGAAGGGACAATGAAGATTTTTTATGGCCACAGTCCTTAAGAGCAGGGACTCAAAAAAAGAGAATTAAATAAATACAGAGACAGAAACAATTAATATGCTTATTGCAGGCAGCTGCTCAGACAGTCTTAGTCCAGAAAGGCAGATTCCTCTGCACTTCATTAGCAGCAGAAGAGAAAGAGGTTAAAAGTAAGACCTCCTAAATGTTGAGGTATTGCTGTTACGTTTAGGAAAGAGGTACTGTACCTACAAAATGTCCAGCAACTCTACAAAACCCTTTTTTCTGAAGATAAGGGAAGATAAGCAGTGTGTGTCAGTGGGCAGCAGTTTCATTTTCTTTTGAGCTTCCAACTTCAGTGACACACACAATTTCAAGACAGCAACAGGAGGCAGCCAGCACAGGGATGAGCAGGAGCATTTCAGTCGGTTTTGTTTGGGTAATGGGGAGATGATAGAAGATAGAGAGCTGAGTGTTTGCTTTGCAGAAACATCAAAGAGACTCAGTCTGAGAGGTGCTAGCTGGAAACAGAACTCATTTTGCTGCGCAGGCAAGACTTTAGGTAGGGAATAGTTACCCAAGTCTATTCTTCTTCACCTTTCCCCTCCATCACTGTGCATGTATCCAGCACAAAAAGGCTAACTGGGATATGTAGCAAGCAGAATTGTGCAAGCAATCAAGACAATTCTGCTAAGCCAGAGGCTTTCAAGGAAAAAAGCACAGCAGTAGAAGAATCTAGCAGTGGTGACTAGTTTCCAGTGCCACAATATTCTTATACTAGTGAACTGAACATCAAAATCTGGTATAGCTGATGAATAACACAGGCCCATAAAGCAAGGTAAGAAATAGAAAAAATATAACATCCAGCATGTAAGTGAAATACAGAGGAAAGGAATGTTTAGGAGAGTTAAGGAAGCTTCAAAGTGGAACACAGGGGGACAAGCATATAAAGGAAGGATGGTAATATATTTTGTCACTCTTCCAAACCTGTTCTGACTTAACCATCACCATGTACATGACATTTTGCAGAATGTCCTAAGAACTAGATTTTTAAAACTGGTTCCTTCTTTCATTTCAAACTGTATTTTCAGTAATAGTTTGGCTACACTGCTTGAAGTTCCGGTATTCAAATCAGTATCTGCAAAATTCAAGTGCTGAAATCAACAGAAGGCTTCCTAGTGATACTGGTGTGAACCAAATTACTCCCACATCCCATTTGGAAGTGAAATTGCCCACAGTAGTAAAATCATCCACATTAGAAATGCTGCTGGCTTTCTGAAGCTTGGAGGAAGTCCTTCAGCAGGAAATCACAGACATCTGCAAGGCTCCTGTGTGATTTTTGGTGGGTTCCCTTCTGACAGTTTTGAAGAAGTCTGGGATTGACCACAATCACCTAACTATGGTTAAAAAATATAAGCTTTTGCATCTATAGACAAAGCAGTTATGTCAAGTGAAATAACATTAGTTTTCAAGCTTGATTAAAACCACAACACTGTCTCTATGGTATAACCAAAACAGGGTTTCATCTTGACATAATTCACATCACTTAAACTCTAATGGTGCCAATCAAACTCTAATGCATCCAGAACGATTTTGTTTTCCCTTGTCTTACAGTTAATATCTACAGATTTCAGTTCAGAACACAGATTTTGACAGTTCCTATGCCTTTCCTAAGAAGTTAAAGGGCAATATGAAATGATTCCATAGGCTCTGGTAGTGTTCTCTTCCATTACCTCTTGTTTTTAAGAAGCCTTCTCCAGGTGTACCAATACCTGTCAGTAGCAAGTATATATTTATGTTCCTTAACAGAAAAAGCAATTTTAGAAAATATCATAACTGATCCTTAATATTTCTCTTAAAAGTACTTATTTTACTGTCTTGCTGACTCTCAGTAAAGATATGTCCTCACAGGAGCCAAAACATCACAATCCAATACATGCGCAGTTCTGTACTACAGACTATACAGCACAGTGATAGAAACACCATTTATAATATTGGGATTAACCGTCATCAAATTCTGATTTAGAATAATTCTCATCTGTTGTGCTGGCTCAGGACATCCTTATATGACTAGAGGGAAAGTAGTAGAAGGAAAAAGACTATAACTTTACAAGACTGTGAAGAGTTTTTTCATCTAGATAAATTTCCACATAATTTCTGGATACGCTAGTTTGCTTTTTATGTAAACTTTGTTTCCACATTCTGGTATCTTTCTTATTACCAGATGTTATTGCACTAACCATTGCACCTTAACTTACTATGATCTGCTGGCCATTTAATTGTTAATGTTTTCTGGGAAACTTTGGCAAACTACATACCCGTAAAGTTCACCTACTCTAAAGAAATAGGATGCAATACATTTGCTGACTGAAGCAACAGTGCATGTTACTCTTACCCTTAAAACTGATTGTTCTAAGTAGAATGATTAAAAATGTATTAAAAGATTGGATAATCACAATGTTGATGCTAAACCAAAATATTTGTGCTTACATAAGAAGGAAAATTGCTTTTATTGCCCTCTTCTTTTACAGCTTTTATGAGATGGTGTATTTTCCAGGCATAGGTGAGATAGCTGATAAAAATCAGTGTTCTTGGATCACTTGCCGAGGTAGCTTCTTTTAATTGCTGTTGAATTATTGACACTATTTCTATGAAATTAGGATTCTAGTGGCTATAAAATATATCTGCCTTCATTACTCACTCTCTTATTCGCTGTGTAACATCACAGTTTGTGGTTTATGATTTTATAATAATTTCAACTGCATTAATCTCTGGGGTCAAATATAGTTGATACTTTCTGTGGAGGCAGAAGCAGAAGATGGTTTTCTCACCTATGGAGAAAAATAGGATTTAAGCAGATTTCTTCTGCATCACAGAACATTCCAATATACAGCAATGCTACTAGCTGGCAAAAAGCCTTCTCCAAGGAGAGAATACAAATTCTGCTGTGACACCGCTAAAATTTTCCATTGCAGATGGATGTATGTTGCCATAGTAGGTAAGTTTCATAAAACTGCTAGAGATGATTTTCCTCTCAGAAAAAGCCTTGAATCTTTGCCCCCGACCATGTTGGGCTCCCCTCACGTAGTTTTCTGATACTGTAAGTACTGTGGCAACTTTGCCTTAGCCACATCCTGTTCTTTATATCATGCCTTTATACTGAAGGGAAATGGCTGCACTTCTTGAATCATCAATCACTGTCTGCATCTGTGGGTCCTCCCCACCTGCAGCTGAGAGAACCCAGAAAGAGAAATCTAGAATAATTTAAGTTCATATAACATTTAATCTTTTTCACAAATGTCAGTGCAGGTGACCATGCAGGTGCGTGGGGGTAAAAAGAATGCTACTTCCATCTTCTTCCTTGCAAGTCACTGGCCATCAGTCTGATTGAAGACAGTGTCTAATGTTTATAATTGAGAGGGCAAGAGAATAACTGAATTTACTCCTTCATGAACCACTAGGAAAAATGATACTGTACTTTTCTTTCCCTCAGCCCACTGAGAGTAATTAATAAATTGTGATTCCAGATTAGTGTTTTGCTATTGCAAACACAATATGCCCAGCTATTGTGTATGTTTTGCTAAAGGACAGATGACCAAATAGTGAAACTTGAGACAAGTACTCTTTTTCAGGTAATAATTTGCATAGAAGTGTGGTTGGCAGCACTTGAAGAAGGAAAACTTACAACCATAAGTACTTAAAGCAAGCACAAAGTATAAAAAAAGCAGGGTATTTGCATCATTGCAGTGCAGATGCTTACATAGAGTTATCTAAAGTAGCTTTGCTATGGGACAAGAAACTAAATCAAGAGTCTAAGAGACTTCATACAAGTCTCCACCCCAGCTATTTATGTAACATTCAGCATGGCTTACTTTATGTTTTATAGGCTACTCCCTTCTGTCCCGTGCCCCGTCATAATATGCTTGAAAGCATAATGAATCAATGGTCTGGCCCTGGGTTTTAAGAGATTTCCCTCTCTCCCTTCCCCCACCCATCCTCGCCATATCAACACCATTCCCACCAACAGCCAGAGGACTGGCACACGCAGGTAAGGTCAATCTATTTTGGTTACCATTGGAAAGAGACAAACTGCCTCTGTAAGGACATTCAGCTTCTGGCTGGAAAACAGTTTGAGGGAGAATCCTGTTTCAGCAGAATTCCTCTTAATTCCTGCACTCTCAACATGAAAAAAAGAAAAAAAAAAAAAAACAAGGAGAAAAACCAGAAAAAACCAGTGTACTAACCTGCCTTTAATTTAAAATAGAAGTTTGGCAGGAAAAGGAGAAACTAAGTGGTGTGGTCTCCAAAAACCCTATCAATGAGGAAATGAATCAGTCCAAGGTTGTATATTCTCACCAAACATCCCCAGCATGTAGGAATGTGTATCAGTTTTCTTGTATCCACATCATACTGTGTATCTCCAACACTGATGCCTGTCATATTTTCTCAGCCCAATCTACTTAAGCCACTACACTCACTTTGTTTGGTACAGATAAAAGGAGGACAAGTTCTATGCTAAGAATTAATGGAAGTAATGAGACCTAGGAAAACCTAGCTGCAACTGGAGATATCAATTTAGCAAAGAATCCCACAGAAATTTATAGCCAAAGGCACCTGCATGGGAAACAGAATAATTTTTTACCTGCAACGTGGCAGTTAATGGTAACATTTGCTTTCTGGATTGTTTTCACCATGCTTCCAATATCAACAGTGACAGCAGGTAATTCAGTGTTGATCACAGTAGCTCTTGATGCCTTTATCAGTGGCTTTCCTGCATAAAAGAAGCACCACAGTTTATAAAACCAAGCACACTGGACTCATATGGGACAGATGACCTGGAACACTCTGTGTGGAAATACACACACCAGACATGTGAATAAGTGAAAATGATGAATATGAGGTCAGCTGCTTTTTATAATACTTCAGTGTCACCAAATTCCATGTGTAAAGCTGTCTTGAAAAAAGAAAAGGTATACTTGGAGCATACGCAGAATACCGTTAAAGCCATTTGGACACATGAGAACCAGATGAATCAATAAACCCCAGTGCAGCTGGAGCTGCAGCAAGATGCTTGCCTAGTGCTGCAACCAAATATCACCCTTTACCAAAGACCAGACATACGAGCCTGAGTGATGGCTACGGGCACATTAATAGTGGAGGAAGTTTAGAGCAACATGCAAGCTGTTTATACACATAGATTGTGGTTTCTTTAACCTACAGTGGAATCACTGGGATGGGGAAGACCAGGTGATCACTAGAAAGTTTTCTCAAAATGTCTACTACAAGATGATGAGGGGTATAAACAGTATTAATGTATAACGCTGTTATTACAGGCTTTAGGTAAAACAAAACAGGTTCTCCAATGGAAAGGAGTTTATCTCTAATAGTGATACTGCTTTGATCACAACAAACTTTTCAAATTGTTTTCAGTTTGCTTCCAACATCTGTGGCAGAAAACAGGTCAGAGGTACCCAAGTTTAGCTTTGAGAGAGAGAAGTGAATCAGCAAAGCTGACAAGAGTTAAATTAAGGCACTTATCTGCCTCAGCCAAATCTCAGGATGTTGCAGGAGTGGCAGAACATGACAACATTGCTTTAAATGGTAAAGGACTTGGGTGTTTTTGATGCAATGTTATATCTTCAAACTTGTCATTTTCTAAAAATCTATAAATCCTTTTTTCCAGTCCATTTTAAATAAATGGTCAGATTCAAAATACGTTCAGATATCACCATTTGCCTAAAAAAGCTGCAGTTTTAAGCTAATGTCTATTACTGGCTTCATTTGTAGGTTTATCTGGAGGTGACCAAAGAAGAAAAGATGGAAGTGAGAAAAAGAATTTGGTTTCATTGAGCTCATGGAGAGTCCTGAAAATTCAATTCAGTCCTAAATATAAATAGGTCCTTATAGCTGTATTTCCAGAGCTTTTAAAAGATGCCATTCACCTGGAATTCCTCTTGTGTCAGTTTGGGTATTTTTTTCGTATTCTATATTTTTTTATTTTAGTGATTTTAATGCCTAAGAATAGCTAAGTAAACTATTACATTTTATTTTTGAAGTATCTCCAAAAGTTTTGATACTCTGTGGCCAAGTCTAAAGCAAAGAAAGAAAAATTGCTCAGCTATCCATCAGCCTTTTATTTTCCTGATTGGTTTCCACAATGTCATCAAAAGATTAAAAATATTTTAGGTGTTCAACCCATAAATGAGTAGGAAACCACTGAAAAAAAAAGGAAGCATATTCCACTGTCTTTTTTTTCCATGCATGTGTAAAATTAATCAGAAAATTCTTCAATGAAATAAGCTTTAAGCCCCACTCCTGATCCCTCCAAAGATGATCTCAGCTTTTCAGGTTTTTTTGGAGAAAATACTTCTGTTATGCCAAAAAGATTGTTACTTTGTTCCAAAAACGGTTCAGTATCTCACTTTGATATTTATGGTCTCATTTTATAGGCTGTTCAGCTCTTTGCCTTGGATGTGAGATGAAAACGTATATCAGTTCCTAAGAGGAGTTGAGCTTGAGTCTGGGATGTATGAATGTTAATTCACCTAAAAGGTTAAACTATGGCCTTGATAATTAATTATAATCAAAAAGCTAATAGCCTTCCTGTGCTACACGTTTACCTAATGCTCCATTTATTTCTCATACAACCACACAAAATTGTCTCCACAAACTAAGTTGTTCAAAGACTATGGCTTTTAAACTCACTGGAACTATGTGGACAAAATACCAGTTTTAACTGATGATTTTTTAACCTGATGTTCAGCTTCATGGTCGTGCAACACAAGACATTTAATGTGGAGTTGCTCCTTCTAAAATATGATACTGTCTTAACAGTAGCACCTCCACCCTGCTGCCCGGGATTCAGCAAAGACATTCCTGATCTGCAGTAGTGTAAAAAGGATCAGTCTCTCTGGTTTTGCCTACAGGTAATATGTAGCTCTGATGGAGATCTTCCTTTTTCACTCTGGAACATTCAGCTGTTCTCCTCCTAAGGGACAGACAAGGTCTTTCCAGTTGATTTACTGATCATCTGAGCTCCACTGCTGGCCACTGCTGCATTCTTATTGCTTATTATTTCTTATTGCTTCTCTTAACTGAAATTTTCTCTGTGTTTGGTGTAAAAAAATTAACTTTAAAAATGAAAGCATATCAACAGCTTCCTCTAATTATACATGGATACATTGGCAGCTGATGGTTTTCTGCTTGTGCACTGGAGGCTTCCAAATGTTTCCACATGCTGGAGCAGTGAAATGGAAAGGTCTGAAAATCAATAAGCTTTCTAGCATTCCTAATGTGTTTCCTTTAGCCTTAGTGATAAATAGGATCCTCCTTCTGTAAGACCTCTCTGCCCTGTCACAGTCATTAGCTGTTTATTCTGTTTCTTTATCTTACTCGACAGCTCTTAATTCATGTTTGCTTCTCCACCCTTCTGCTAGTCCTGATGTGGTTGTGAGCCTGCTGGTATTGCCTGTCAATGGACCCCGAAGAAGCTGGATTCATGCACTACCACCCATTCCCCTTGGCTTTTATATGGATGAGTTTTCTTTAGAACTGGATTCTAAACTAACACAGGATATTTAGTCTACTTTAGAACACAACTGTTACTAGAAAAATAGAAATATGGAAATTAATTTTTTTGTGAACTTCTATTTGCTAGCAACTGAAATGGTGTCAGCCATGCTTGTGCTCGTATATGATAGAGGGCTTGATCCTGCAAGGACCTAGCTCTTCAGCTCTAGTAGTTTTCCAGACTGCTGAATGTACATCTGAGTAAGTCCTTCAATCAGACTGTTAGACTTGAAGAGATCAGTGGTAGCTTTAAAATGAAGCATATGAATTGGGAGGCTGGGACTGCATTGCCCATATAGGCTGCAAATAACCAGGATAAGCACTTTCTTAAGAGCATATGTCATGTGAGAAAAAGCACTGATTTCTTACAGGAATACATAAGCCTCACAAACTATCTATGAATGCTGGACTATGCCTCAGGGTTTTCCAGAGTTCACACCCTCTGTTTTCCCCAGTGTACCTCTGCTGACTCACGTTACACACTCAGCTTCATCAGCCACCTGTTGCAGCACAAACAACTTCAGTCGAGAATCACACAAATAACATGGACCATCCTGCAATCATAAAGGTTGAACTATTACCTGCTAGAGTAACAGCAATGGAGACAGAGTCAGATCCCAAGGCATTGGATGCATTGCAAGCATAGAAACCCACATCAGCTTCCACAGGTGCTAGAATCTGCAAGGAGTCATCAGGCTGAAGGAGTATCCTGCAGTAAAACAGAATGAAAGATGCAACAGTCTATTAGTTCATGTGAACAAGAACACATTTACTGTGAATTTTTCAGTTGTAGGTAATTTTTTTATAGTTCAGGCCTTTAAGTTATATTTAAAAATCTATTAAGAAATTTAAAGTCTTACATTGAGACTGTAAGCTGTAATTACTTAAACTAAATTTTAGTCTCATTCTCGGTTCTTGTACTGCTGATATGCATATTAGAGAAAGATTGCCAAGCAATTATGACATCTGCCCAGTGTGTGTAAAACTTCCTCCTCTGCTGTGCCGCTTCTGTACAATGTTGAATGAGTTCCCTAGTCTTGCTGTCTTCTAGTTCTGCAACACAGGAGTAGCAATATTAAAGAAAAACCAAATTATTGCAAGGGAAGAGTCAGGAAACCTGCTGAAGCTATGCAGAAAGAAGTGAAGGGAACTACAGGCTCAGTGTTAAAGCCTGAAATAGGTTCCAAATTCTTTTATTGATGCGCAGTTCATACAAAATCAGCAGTCTTTTTGCTTCTCTAATAAGTGAAGATGGAGACAAAAACTCAGCTCCTCCTTGGGCTGAACCAACTGTTTCTTCTGCCAGTAAGAGGAGCCTACCATAATCTCAGTGTACTGACTATGGGTAAATGGGATGAACATGGCCTTAGTGCTCTTATGAACTGCTTCACAGTCTGGTTTTGCAGTGGTATAACTCATCAGGTCCTGTTTCAGCAAGAATTCAGTCCTCTTGTCAATGCTTACACACCCTTATTTTCAGCACAGTGAATTTCATGATTACTGTTCCTCTCTTAACTTCTTTTTTTTTTTTTAGCTGAAACTGTTGATAAAATCTAATTATACTGTTCTCATCAGCACTTTCAGCAGCTGTTGTATGTTAATTCTTAGTTGAGGCTGTGATTGATAATGGCAAGAGTGAAAGTGGGGGTGGGAAATGCATGTAAAATACATGCAATAAAAGTCTGCTCACAGATCCTGGAACTGATGAGTGTTTTTACACTCCCATCCCCACAATGAAAACTGTTTTCTTATGCACCAAAAAGCAGTGGATACCTGATTTTGCACAATGCTGGGGGTGGTAGATCTCTAAAACAAACCAGATTAGGGCCACCCATCAAAATCTATTACAGGAAAAATATCCAGAGTTAAAATGAGGTTTTTTCCACCCTTTCGTGAGTAAAAAAAAAAAAAAAAGAGCTGCCCATTGTTAACCAAGTTTTGTAAATGCCTAGAAAAATGCATATTTGCAAAACAAACATTAATACTTTTTAAATTGCATTTATGCTTGCACAACCAAAAAACCACCATTGGTTGAAATAATTCCCTTCCCACTTCCATTGCCAAGGATCTTTTTCTTAACCTCTTAGCCATAAACAGGGCTGATTTCTAGTTAGCCACTTCTAACAGTGACGAAAGCTAACAATTTTTTTACTTAAAAAACTAGTGTTAGCATGCATCAGTATCTCACATGTAAATTTTTTAGTTTAACACTGACTGTTTCAATCAGTACATGAAATCCATTAGAGTTGCAGAAGTTGTCCCAAATTATACAAGTCTGTAACATTTAAAAGTCGTGTACATTCTGCCTGCATGTGTGCAAACACAGTATTTAGGCCGATCTTCTAGTCCTACATCAAACTAATGCCTACAAGCCCCCTAAAAACATTTTAATAAATGTTTCTGTCATCTTCAAGTTGAGGAAAGAGCTTGCCTAACATTACATCTTGTAAAACACAACGTTGCATAATTGTTTGTTGTTATCACCTCTGCTGATGTCAATCTCTGTTTGTCAGCTTAAGTCACCTCAAGATCCAGCACAAATATTTTTAGAAATAGGAGTATGCCAGTCAGATACTTGCCTTTTTAAAAAAAAAAAAAATTCCAACACAGCTCCATCTTCCTATCTTTTAAACCCAAGTTTTAATGTACTTCTCCAGAAGCAAACTAATATCCTCTTCTTTTCAATAATTCCTTCTGTTATTTGTGTGTCACAATTTGGTATAGCTACTTTTCTTGGAAGCAGATCTTTTGTTATCCCTCTTTATATAGAATTATTTTGGCTGATTTCCCTGTTTGCTCATAGATTGCTATTTTTGTTATGTATTGAGTTGCTTGTCAGTGGTGAAAAAAATACCAGCTGTAGCAATTCTTTCTGTCACCAGCATGTCTTCAGAATCTCATTTATGGACTTAAAATAATACAGCTTAATGTTTAATCAGTTTCATCTCAGTTGCTCCACACTACATTGTCTCCAAGACAAAAATGTATTTTACAGGAAATGTATCAGTGACTAATTCAGATAGCAACTCACAAACACCTAACTCTGTATCACCTACTATTTATATTCTACTTCATGTCCACAGCATACTTGGAAGGCTTACTAAACCATGCATAAATTCCGCAAAGATTTTTCACTTTTAAAACTGATTCCTAAGGAATTAAAACTGAATATTCTTCAAAATACAATGTTTTCCATCATATACAGAGTCCATAGACTCTTGGTACATATACTATGAGGCTCTGAAATGGCACTCAGAACCCATGCTAGTGTTAACTTGACATTTTAACCCTAGGAGAGCGTACGGACACTCATGTTAAATATGCACTCAGGCTGAATATGCAGACACGAGTCAGGAATCTTTTACTGAAACTGAAGATATTTTCAAGTGCTGCAGCTTTTTGTATCATATGTTTTCATTCCACTGAGTAACTGAAAAACGACATTTTTTTGGGGCCTGTGATAAATTTTTTTTTGATGGTACCAAGACCAAATCTAAAGAAATTAATTTTTGCAAGTGTAGTTACACAGTAGGAGTCGTACTTTTAAATGGATGAAGCAGCTGATGAAATGGGGCAGTGGGAACAGAGCCATACCTTGATTATCATTACTGGACATCGTTGATCTAGACAAAATCCACGGCCACAATGCAATAAAATGTGTGCCTTTATCTCAATGTTTTGTATGTACAATATAGATACTTGTCACCCAACCTAAAACAACTAGCCTACACTCTAAAAAATCACAACACAAACAAAGTACTTCTGGAACTTCAGTATATTTAGTAGGGCATGATCTGAGAAACTTCAGCACTTCTCTCTGGCCTTCCTCAACAAAAGTGTCTCTCTTTGATACTGGTATGGGAAAGCCCACATACATTAGTTTTCTTATCCCCATTAAGATAGAGGTGGGCTGGAAAATTGGTTACTCTTCTCCATTCAGTGGCTGACGAAGTAGGAAGAAGACAAACTGCAGAGCTGAAAGACAGCTTAGGCACCAAACACCACTGCATGCACATGGCCTTGCAGTTTACAGCAGCACACTGTGAGACTGCTTAAACTGCAGCTTTCATTGACACAGCTAACTGGCTGACAGCAAGAGCAATCTCAGCCAAAATGAGAATACTGCTGTTAAAAAACCCAGCAAAAAATCCACAGCCCAACTTTTTTATGCACCATGATTTCTAAATTTCTGTTTCCTCAAAACTTACAGGTGCTGAGTACATCTAAAACTCAGAGTGCGGTCTTTCGTCCCCGCTCACCAACCTGAGGAACAATAAATGATGAGTACAGAAGAAAGTTCATAAAGTGGAAACTGCCTCAACATTTAAAGAAGAGTTGTCAATGAATAATGCTACTAACTGGCAAAGAAATTATATTTTTCTGAATCTTTCTGATAGAAATTTTGAGCACACACAAAATGGCCTGACAATTCAGAAACAGAAAACAGCATTTAATGCTATTTCAGCCAAACTGAATGGAAAAAAAACGGTTGAAAAGGAATTGTAAAACTACATATAAAAAATTTTGAACTAAAACTTGAGAAATAATAAGACTGTTTTATTTCAGCTAAATGAATCTACCTCTTGCAACACTATCACAGTTTATATGGTATGAAATAAACTTGCCATTTTCTCTTCAGTGTAGTGTCCAGCATCAAGCACATGTGGACTTTATGTAACCTGCCTTCCCTTTCATGCATACCACAGAAGTCACAGTCATTTCAAGTAGAGAAAACAAAAATCCCTTAATGTCACAATTCCAATGGGATATAACTACTGGCAGTGAAAATTGAAGCTTTTTTTTTGGGGTGGCATAAAGATATTTTCACGGGAATATGACCACGTGAAGGGATTCTATGGGTCCAAGTCTTGATTATGAGTGCATATGATTTCCACCAGAGATACATTCTTGTTCTTAGTGACCTCTCCCCCTTTCAAAAGTTACCGCTTTTTGGTGTGCAAAATCTAATATACTTACTAGCCTTCAGATGGAGAGGCAAGAATCAGGAAATTCAGATCATTAGAGAAAACAATTATTTTTGGAGTAATTCAGTTGTCATAGTAAAAAAGTGACTACATGCAGATGTCTTAGCTGAGGTCAGTATCTTGTGCAGAAAGAGTGGCTATGAGATCTCTGGACAGCTTTGTTGTATCATGTTGGTCAATATTACTGTCTGTTACACTCTCTGCCTGTTCTTACATATCACTTTCTCACAGAACAGAACCAAAATATAAAATTCCAAGTATACACATAAGAAAAATTTGTTATCAACACAGTTAGGCATATAACAAGCACTGAAAATAATGTCTTTTTGTGTGCTCTTGCACACAAATGAATAATGTGGAGTGATAGAAAAGCAAAGGGTACCTGAAAGAAAAACAGTATACTTTCTGTGGTACGCAGATAAAAGTGTTCTGTTATTCAAGTTCTCTGGCTACACCTAGGGCCAGAACTCTGGAGTTTAAACAGATGAGGATTCACCCATGCACATCAGAAGACTAATGCTAAAAGATCAGTGTGTTGAGATGACAGCAGAGCTGCAAACAGCTATGAAGTATGGTTCCACAGTTTGCATACTCCATCAGAACATGCCAAAGGTGATGGTAATGCCCCTTGAGGTTTATCCTGGGGCAGTTTTATGCATGGATGTATGTTTGGATGCCAGAGGCCTTACTTCCTCTGTCTTCTGCTACCACAGCCATGGCAGACAGACCCTGTTGGAGCACTGTGAGAAATGCAATTTGTATCTCCAACACAGAATACTAGTAATAAGCAACAACTAATTTTTGTATCTTTCATATTCAACGAATATCTTTCATATTGGTATTACATATTAATACCAATCTTCATAGCAAAAATCCCTACCTTTAGATGGAAAAATAAAACAAGGCTCCCAGTCTCCAGACATGGAAGGCTCTGTTCACTGCATGAGGCACTTACCTGTTTTAGTACTTTACAATTCCTTCTCTTTGTTTACTCAGTCAGAAGTTCCTGTTTGTCACACCCGTCTGACCCAGTATCCACACCTTCCTGAAGAGTTACAGTGCCTCGTTTACTACTTCGCATGCATTTGCCCTTCTTTCTGCTATGAAGTCAGACTACAGCAAAATTTGGTTTTGTCCGTGGGACCGACAGGCAGTAAAACATGGAAACCAAACAGTCAAAATATCAATTATTTTCTTAAAAATTAAATAATGGGTTTTGTTTTACCTATCATTGTATTTCACCTCCTCTCCGTTCTTAGCCCAGCTGATGGTGGGCTTTGGATTTCCCACTGCTTCACAGTGAAGCAGCACGCTGAGTGTGCCACTTGCTAGAACAACCGTCTGTCCCAGGTGGGTAACAACCTCTGAAGCAGAAAGCTGTTGTGCTGCTGAAATCTTCCGGAGAATGGCAGGCTTTTGATGAGGTCTGTGCAAGCCATTAGTCAGGTCTACAGAAGTAGGAAGAAACATTTCAGCAGATGATGTCCTCAGGGAACTGGTAAATCCAGAAACTTGTCTGTGGAAAGGGTACTCCACTGAGACTGAATCAACTTTTTGCCTTGATGCTTTGAGGACAAATTCCTGGTGCTCCAAGTGGCTCTTGAAAACCTCGTGAGCCAGCTGCACAACAAGCTGCTCAGTGTACATATCTTTAAGCTCCTCTGGCTGTTGAGACAAATTCCTTATGATATCATCCAAGCGTTTCTGCTCTGTAATCATAGTAAATGGCAGGCTATGGTCCCGGCTATGGTCCTCTTCTGAGGATGCATTTCTCTCCATGGACTCCTGGGCTTCCCAGGACTCCAGATTTTCCCCTGGCCAGCCCCTGTGCTGTAGCAGCCTTGAGACAATATTGTCATACCATCCGCTGGTGTTAGCAAGGTGCCCTTGCTTTTCAGCATTGCTACTATTGAAGAAAATCCCATTGAGATATTTCTCCTCTGTTCTCAAGGCTTCATTTAAACTGGCCTTTCTCATGGCCTCTTCCTCCCTAATACCAGTTGGCTGCCCAGCAATTATCTTCTTGTTGCTTCCAATTAGTTTAATTATGAAATTCTCCCGGGCTGGCCCTGCTGTGCAGGTGTATGTCCCAGAGTCTGAAGGCTTCAAGTGACGGATTTTCATATACCCATAGGGTGCAATGGTGATGTGAGCTGAGCTGATGAGCCTCTTGTCATCCTTCTCCCAAGTGATCATTGATTTTCTGAACCTCCTTACAGGGCATCGGAGAACAACAGAAGTTTTGGGCAGCAGGTAGGCATATCCACCCACAATAAAGTGTAGTTTCTTCTGCTTCCTTGTCTGGATGTAAACTTTCTTTACAGCCATAATATGGGGGCTTTGATTATGAGCTGGCCTGTTGTGCCCTGAAATATCATTAATATTATTAGTATGTGATACCATTAAACAAAACAAGCAGTTTACATTGCTGCTGCAGCATTTGACCCATTAAACAGTAATGGGAAAAACTGGCCACCAGCTGCTGGACATTAGATTAGAACAATCAAAATAAGAGGAGTAACAAGGCACACTTCAGGAACACAAAAGTAGCCCTGCCCAGAGTATATACAGAAATCAAAGAGCCAGGGACAAAAGCTTTATGGGAGAGAGAAAACTTGAGTGGAAATGTAGTTCTTGTCATTAAAGTACTTAAATGAAGACTGTTGCTTAAAAACTGGACTGAATAGACAAGTGTTTACCATCCAAACCTTCAAAGGCAACATGATCTTACAGCTCACAATGGTAAGGAAGATTGAAAGTCTTGCTGCCTCAAGGAGTAATTGGGAACAGAACAAAACTCTCTGGACCAGGCTTAAAAATATGGTAAATGTTTTTGAAGTGCACTAGTTCAGTGTGTCCTTCCAGGTTCCAGATCTCTACATAAGAGATCTTTATTGTGAAGCACTAAATAAATCTGCATAGGTATATTTTTAGTAAATACCACACAACATTTGGTCCAAGCATTGATTCTAAATGTTTGATCTTCTTTCCTCCCTACACATGTAACATTTAGCAGTTTCAGAGTCAAGATGAAACTAAACTAACTTTCACATATCCAGACGGCTTACTGCAAACTAGGGAAGAGCATACAGGGGAACTACTGGTCTTGTGAAGGGCAACAACAAATTCACAAAATACCAACATAAAATACATCTAACTTGTGTTGCATGGTTCGTTAGAAACCCCAGGTCATAGAGGGTTCTTAGTGACATAATGAAATAATATGTTTTTAAATGATCTACAGCAAAATCCCTCACCAGTCACTTTCCTTCCAGCTGTTCTAGCAGAGTTTATTTGCACCTGCCCTCAGAATGCTGTTCTGTATCTCTGAGGCTCTACAGTCCAGCTGTGAGATTTACATCTAGATCTGGGTCAGAATTTTGAGTCAGTTCTGCCAGAAACTGGTAGTTCCTTTCCAGCACATTTACTCACATCCAGCTCTAATAGTAGAATTTGTAGCTCTCCTCCATTGGTTTGCCTTGTTCATAGACAGAAAAACCCACTCTGGAAGACTAACACTAGTGCAAAAGAAGGTTATAGAGGTAATAGCATGGATTTCTTAATGAAGGACTGACACTGCCAAGCATCTTTTCCACTTACTTGCACAGGGGCCTAGTGCACAGGGCCTGATCAAGGATGACAATGGTAAAGGCAGGCAGAGTGAGGAATTGATGATAACAAATCCCCCGGATTTCAGTGTCTTTCTGCAAATGGCATTTCGACTCTGTGTGCCTCCTCCACAGCTCACTGAACACTAGGAACAGGATGAGAAACATTAGGAAAAAGGAAAAGAGTGCTCCTTGTCACACACAGCCCCCTCATCTCCCATATCGACATTGCATACTCATACCATAGAACAGAACAGCTACAGTTTTCAAAATGCTGCAGTAGAAGAAAGCAAAGCAGCATCTGACCATGCAGCTAAAAACAGTGTAGACACAGTAGGGAGATGAAATATCAGCTATTTTCTGTCCTGTAAGGCCTTGATTCTTCACATGTTTCCTTTAGCAATTTTTTCTGTCAGATGATGTCCCTTGTTTTAATGGTACTATGCTACAGATCAAAGCTAGTCTTTGTTTCTACCTGTCTCTGTCTGCTGGCTGGAAAAACATCTTTTTGTACCAAAGTGCAGACTCACTGAGTTGCAGTTCACAATTGCATTCTCATCTGCTAAAATCTGGCCTAAGCTTAATCTTTGAGCTTTGCTGTTGCAAATCTGTTAGAAATAATAAAGAGATGAGCGTTTCAGTAACCAATTAATTATCTTGGCCCAGTAGTTACAACACATGGCTTACATAGAGAAGTATAAACCCTCTAATATCAGACCATGGTACTTGATGCACAGGTGGGCATTGTTCAATGGACTTCATCATGGCTATTATATTTCATATTTATGTATACAGCATCAAAGAAAGTGAAAATGTAGCAGTGCCTTTGCACCGAGACCCAGGCAGCAGCCCGTAAAACGGGTTGGAAAACGGGTAGACCCCTGTAATTACCATCTTCACTGTCAGAATGGCTATATGTCTCCTAGCAGAAGACTTTAGGAAAACATTCAGTAATTTGAGTAAAAGGTCAAGAGAGATCACCATAAGAAGAGAGCAGGTGGGACACCTCTATGTGTCTGGCATTTCTCTTACAGTTAGGACAATTTCCACTCTCTTCCATGAAAGAGAACTAGAAGAGTGGTGGCAGAGACTGCAAGATGTGGAATGATTTTCATGCTTGCTGGCATTATGGAGTCAAATTACATTTTTAGTTATACTGTCATAAATATAAAGGGAAATATTCTTAAACCATACAGGGCTTGAAAGGGAGCCTGGGGAAGTGCAAGAAACTTCAGCAAAGTGAGTTTGTTTTGCCATTCTTAAACTGAAGGCTTTGGGAACAAAAAGCATTTAGCCTGGGATAATAAAGATTACTCTTCACTGATGCCTTGGATGAACATAAGCATAGGCATAGACAGAGACAGGGATTTATTGTGTTGAGCATGGCTTTTTTTCACACCAGAAGGGAGGTCTTAATAGTGTGGTTGGATACTTAAAGCACATCTGTGGAGGCAATCACTACAGAGGATCATGGAGCTAGTGATTACAACCCCAACAAGGATAGATTACAGGACAAAAATGGGCATAACATGCTTTGTGCCATCTGACCTCATTTGACTCCTCTATCCCAAATTACTTAGGAACTTCATCTCCAAGAACCGTACAATACTCACGCATATGAATAGCATACCTGTGTCCAGTCAGAGAGCAGCCACTCATTGGGACAATCCTCATTTTTGCAGGCTTGTTGGGTAACTGTCCTTGGCATGGAGCAGAAGGTTTCTGGCAGCATTAATAAGCTCCCATCTGCCAGGCGCTGCTTACAAAGTGTATCTCGCTTCTGGACACCACCGCCGCATGTCTGTGAACACTGTGAGAAAAGAATGAGCCACTTTACATCACAATTGCAGCATGGCAACTTGTAGCAAATATTACTTTTGAATTTGGGTAGAAATCAACACTTGGTTTTAGCCAAATAGAAAACATAAAACAAAAATCCGAGAGACATCAAAGTAAAATGTCAAAAATATTTTTTAATATTGCTTTTAAAAATGTCAAAATATTTTGGAAAGTGGAAGCAGCTTATTTTGCTAATATTTAGAAAAATTGCTTTAGTATTTCTGAAATGTTCTGTTTTGTACAAAAGACATTCAAACAATGGGTCAGCATTGCAGTATGGAGGTGGAAAATTTGTCCTTTCCTGTAACCATCAACTGGAAAATGAGACATTTGCATGTGATGTGAGGATCTACATGCTAATATCTCCATCTGAGCCCTGACTGTAACACTAAGAGTGTCAGAGAGTGGAAAAGTCTCACCCAGAAGTAGATGAATAAGCTGGGATGATTAATAACCAGAGAATACACCTCTTCTCTCTCTTTAATGTAAATATACCTCTCTGTGTCCATTTTCTACTCAAGCAGGGCAGGAAATTTTTAATAAGTAAATTTAGTAGCTTTCCTGATTGTTTTTTGCAAAGTTTGTTGCTCAGTCCTTTTTCCTGAGGATCTCTTTCCTGGGGCTGTTAACAGGCTCCCAGTTCTGCTCAGTCCAGCCAGCTCAACTTTTTTTCTCCCTTCTCCTAGAAAAAGAAAGGGGAAGCTTGCACTACTGCACTACACTAACATGACCAGGAGTTGCTTAAAGCTTGCAACATGGCAATTATGCATGACAAGCAGACAACCATATGAAGAAGTATTAAAACTTAAACAGTTTAAAAGGAGTGTTTTAGAAAATCTTGCAGTCAGAAAGACACTTCTCTCTTATATAGAGAGCTGCATGAACTTTAGTCTAGCCTGAATACCCAGGGACAGCCAACAGAGGCAGAAAGCCTGAATCTTCCTAGTGTAAGTCTTTAAGCTTCCTCACTTACGGTGTTGACATGCCATAGAGCTCAATGCCCTGTAGCTGCAGGAGTCACTAAATCAGTTGTGTCAGAGCTCTCCTGCCAGCCAGCTCTCCTGCTGAGGTAGATGCAGCCCTCCAGGTCACAGGTGCCAGGAGTGCTTGATGCCTCTTCATGAGGCTGGGGCAGACAAACAGTTATTTTGCAGAAGGTGTGCTGTGGTTGAAGAGCTGTGTCACCAGGTGAAGGAGCTACAGGAGGAAGTGAACAGGCTTTGTAGTATTTGAGCAAATGAGCAAGAGAGAGACTGATTACATTGAGAGATGCTACAGCCTCAAGACTCTGGGGAGTCTTGAACCTCATTTGTAGTGGAGAAGCAGATGGACTTAGAACCCTACGGGGTAATTAGTCAAAGGAATGTTAGTCATGGGTCTGTTAAAGGTGAAGGCTGGAAGCTGGTCACTGCATGTATCAGGAGGAAGGTTCCTCCTCCTTCCCAAAATTTGAAAGGTAGGATGTGTGCCTTCTAGAACAGGTATGATGTTCTGGCACAAGAAGGCCAGACAGCTGATGAGGTGGGCAAAGGTCCTTCTGGGATAGAGGGTCCTCCTAAAGCAACATCACCTGCACCCCACATCATGACCTCCTCTGTTAAGAGGAAAAGAAGGGTAGTTGTAATAGCAGACTCCCTACTAATGGGAACAGAGGGCCTGATATGCAGATCAGACCCAACTCACAGGGAAGTTTGCTGTCTCCAAGAGGCTCAGGCAAGGGACATTACTGGAAAACTCTCCAGTCCAGTAAGGCCCTCTGATTACTGTCAGCTATTGGTTGTTCAAACTGGTAGTGATGAAATAACAAAGAGAAGCCTGAGTGCAGGGCCCTGGGAAAATTGGTAGAGGGATCAGAAGCATTGGCAGTGATTTCCTAGATCCTTCCAATAACAAGGAATAATACTGATAGGAATAGACAGATCTATCAACGAGTGCCTCTGAGGTTGATGAGATTCGAAAAATTTTGGATTTGTTGCCCATGGGATGATCTACTCAACACCTGGTCTACTGACACTTGACAGGATGCTCCTGTCTCAGAAAGGAAACAGAGTTCTAGCACAAGAGCCAGTGAGGCTTCCGGACAGAGGTTTAACCTAGCTTGGAGGGGGAAGGGGACAAAACCAGGCTCACCAGAGATGAGCGATGGGATGCTGTCCCAAAACTTCAGAAAACCAGCACTTAAGAAATCCCTCAATCTGCCTCACAAGGTGTTGGCTACAATGTACCACATTTGAAATGTTTCTACACTAATACAGGCAGAAAAAGGAACAAACAAGAGGAGCTAGAAGCTTTGGCCCAGTCCCAGAGATTTGACATCATTGGCATAAGTGGAACCTGGTGGGATGAGACCTGTGACTAGAGCGCCCTTCTGGATGATTACAGATTCTTCAGGAGGGATAGGTAGGGCAGAAGAGGTGGAAGGGTGGCACTGTATGTAATAGAAGGGCTAGAATGTATGGGAGCTCACAGTTGGGAATGGCACAGTTGAGAGCCTCTGGGTAAGAATCAAGGGGTGTGGTGGGAAAAAAAAAATGGTAACCCCCGAAGGGGTGGTGTTTCTTGGTGTTGACCCAATCAGCACCCCTGCAAAATTAAAACATATCACACCAGACTGGAAAAGAAGGATAATGACGTAGTTGGAGGAGAAGTGGCCATGTTTTAGGCCACGAGGGGAGAAGAGCCAGGAGCCCCGCTGGGGGCTAGGCCCCCCAGCCCCCCAGCTGGGGGCTGCAGGAACTTGGAACAGTGTTAAACTGAGCCAAGTACTGTAGCTAAGAGCTGGGGGAAGTTTTCTGGCTGTGAATGGGCAGCCAGAGATAGTGAAAGTGGTGGTGGAGCAGCAGTGAATGGAGAACTGTGGCTGAGAGCCAAAAAGATAATAAGCAGCAAAGACGGCATGCGGCTAAGCTGAGAGACACTTAGATGTCTGATGGAGAGAGAGAGAGAGAGGACTAAGCTCAACAGAGACAGTTTTGGCAGTAAGACTGAATTAAATCTTCCCAAAACCCCTTTGAGACCCCTCCTGGGAGGAGGGGGTGGACTTCTACCTGATGAGAGTCCTAAAATGCAGCATGCAGCAGAGAGAGAGAAGAGCTGAGAGCTTGGAGATGTCCTGAGAGGTGGACCAGGACAGAATGCAGAGGAAGTGGCCTTGCCCCTCCCCTGCTGCCACACTGGCAGTTGAGACAGAGCAGAGGAGCTCTGATAGGATGCCTGGGGCAAAGACTGAACTGAAAGCTGCCCTAAATGTTCTGACTCAGGAGGAGTTTGAATCCCCTGAGGAAGGGACTTTCATGGGATGTCTTACACCGCATGACATGATTGAGTTTTGTCCCTGCTTTTGCAAGCCCACGGGAGAGAGACCTTCACTTGGATCCAAAGGGCTGAGAGGGGTGAGAGGAGACCCCTTGTATTGTAATGGAGGAAGAAATCTTCCAGCTACGACAATCCAGCTATGACTGCTGCATTGAAGAGGAGAGACACTGCTGCCCTGAAAGTGGAAAGGATCCTTCCTTCTTCCCTTCTGGACTTTTATTAGAGGGAAAAGAGATTTGATCTAATGTAAATATTGCTTTACCATAGGAGAGATAGTTAGGATTATGTATATAATATATTATAATATTTATTTGTGTAATAATTGTAATATAATTCCCTTTCCTCCATATTGAGTCTTGTGTTTTGTCTGGAAAACCCCTCTCACACTGGGGTGAGTTTTGGGAGGGGGGCTTGGACTTGGAAATTGGATTTTTGGGGGTCTCAAACCACCACAAGGGGCAAACAAATAATGTGGATATCATCATGGAAGTCTGCTGTATACCCAGCCAGGACAGCAATGCCAATGAATTATTATTTGAGAAACTAAGGGAGACTTCCAAGTCAACTGCCCTTGGCCTTATGAGGGACTTCAACTTGCCTGAAATCAACTGGGAACATCACACAGCTGGTACAAACCCGGCCAGAAGATTCCTAAAGAACCTGGATGACAACTTTATGGAACAGGTCCTAAGGGAGCCAACATGGAAAGATGCCCTCCTTGATCTGCTGCCTGTCAACAGAGTGGATCTTGTGAGCAAAGTGGAGACTGGCAGCTATCTTGGTCATAGCAACCACGAAGTGATGGAGTTTAAAATCTCCATTGCCAGGAGGAAAGGTGCCAGCAAAACCTCAGTTCTGGACATGAGGAGAACAGACTTCAGGTTGCTCAAGGAATTAGTAAGTAAGGTCCCATGGAAAAATGTTTTTGAAGGTGTTAGGGTCCATGAATGCTGGTCACTTTTCAAACTACCTCCTAAGGGCACATGGGCAGCAATTCCTAAATGTTAGAAATCAAGCAGGTGAGGCAGAAGGACAGCTTGGCTGAACAGGAATCTTCTCTTGGAGTTAAGGCAAAAAAGGAACGTGTATGCCCAGTGGAAGCAAGGTCAAGTGACATGGGAAGAATTCAGAGATGCTGCTTGTGGCCAAAGCCCAGCTGGAGTTGCAGCTGGCCAGAAATGTAGGGGACAATAAAGAGTTTTTTCAAATACATTAAATGTCAAGAGGCAGTATAGAAATATCATCCGCCCGTTACAGGATGAGGATGGTCATCTAACAAACAGGGTCAGAGACAAGGCAGAGGTGTTTAATGATTTCTTTGCCTCTGTCTTCAACATGGATGATGGACAAGGGTGTCTCAGTGCCCTGAACTGGAGGACCATGACTGTGAGAATGATCAACTCCTAGTGCACCCTGAAATTGTGCAGGATCTGCTGCTCCAGCTGGATCCCTAGAAATCTATGGGGCCTGATGGGATTCATCCCAGAACCCTCAAAGAGCTGCAGATGTGTCATAGGTTTTAAAAGAAATGTTGGAATTTTTTCCAAATATTGATTTCCCTCCCCCCTCATCTGCTTTTTTTTCGGGGGGGGGGGGGGGGGGGGGGGGGG